CCCAGGAAGACCAAAGGGAAGTCTCCTAAGTTGTCTTCTCCATGGGAAGGCCCATATGACATAGTGGATCGTCTCTCAGACGTGACTTTCCAGATAAAGTGTGGTCGGCAAGGTAAGCCAAAAGTGGTGCATGCCAACAGGCTTTGGCGTTATCACGGTCTAGGACATTTCAGTTGGGATGAAGTGGACAACAGAACAAATGACGCTGTTTGAGAAGGGAAACAGTGAAGCTCTTGATGAAGTTACTACCACTGATGTGACTGTTACCGACGATAGGACATTTACTGATGAAGCAGATGAACCCCACATGAAGCAGAAGCCAACAAGACGGAGACCAGTATGGAAGAAGATTCGTCCCGTAAAATTAAGAGACTTTGTTGAATTGTAATTTTGTGATTGTAATTCTGTACATTTAATTAAGTTATTGTTAATTGTTATTGGTTTATTGTATGTGGCTATTGTTTGGGACGAACAATACTAAGGAGGGGGCAGTGTTGCGTCAGCGAGGTCACGTGACTCGTTCTCTCGAACCTTCGGGAATTGTCAGGAGATTACTAGATATAGGGTAGTCTGGTAGGTAGCCATAAGAGGGTGACAACATGACGGAACAATGTGTGTGTAGACAGTGAGTAATTGATCTGCAGTCATAGAGTATTATTGAAGTTGAGTACGTTTGTTGTTATAGCGTTTGTTTTAGCGCGATTGTTGAAATTAAGTGCATCGTAAAGTTATATTCGGAAAGAATAAACCAGTTTTATTAAGTAAGGACTTGTGTCGCTAAAGTTTCGTCGGAAACGAATTTACGGAAAATCAATTAACGACTGGAGGCATAACAATATATTCTATTCTGCCTTAGCTGTAACTACTTATAAATGTGCTGATTAGAAATAAATTATGTTGAACATATTTTATTGTTCAGCAGACATTATAGCATGAAGGTTTTAAAACTACAACAGACAAATACATTGGATTTTTCAGTCAACTAAGTTTGTTAACACTACTTGGATTTTATTATAATACTGTTCTAAAATTTGTAATGCCAAGTGTTTTGTTAAATTTGACTCTAGAGTACATATAATTATTTCATAAAGAGTTTATCGGAGCCATTACGGAGAAAAATACATTGGGTAATTTCTTCAAAAGTCTTTATGAAGGCTTACTTAGTTATGTCCTCATTTCAAAGATGACATATTGAAAAGTTTTTTGCAAATTTACAGGTTATAAGAACAGTAAAAGAATTAAGTAAGGTTAGTATATTTTATCTGAATGTCTAACCAGATTTGTGACTTGAATTTAAGAACAGATTCAGTGATCAACTCTCTCAATAAAATAATAGAAGCCAGGATTTATTAGTAGTAGAAATGTTTGGCCTTGAGCCTTCTTCAGGTGCTTATACTAAACCAGCTACAACATAACAGCTCACTGAATCTTTATCTTGAATTGTCAAACTATACTCTATCAGGAAAGAACTAAATATATTAAAAGACAATTAATTATTAATGGCTTACCAGAGTAATAAACAGTATTAAAACTACTAATTAGTCTGATTAATGAAATCAAATTATTTTTTGCAGTCAAAATATGAACAAAAAATCAACCTTTATTTAAATTTGTCTAATTATTTACAGAAAAAAGGTGTAATTTCTTCCAATGCACAGTAGTATGAGTTTTTAGGTTGATAAAAAAAGTTTTAAATGTTTACAAAATTACTGCAGAAATTACTCCATTCATTATCTAGTTTTTGATATAAAATTAGGTAACTAAGACTAACTGGTTAACTTAATTTGTCATTCTGCAATCATTTTATGTCACGAGATAAAGACAAAGCTTGCATAACTTTTAAAAAAATATTTACAAAAGTATTAAAAAGCTCAATCTTAATAGAAAGATTTTCAAATTTTGTGAGTAAAACTACAAGACTGTATAAAACCTTTAACCTGTTCTGCGATGATCATTAGAAGCAATACTAATTCATCTTTTCAAAAATTATTTGTTGCGGCCATTTTCAACAGGAATATCTATCAAGGAACTGCTTTGATAAGCCCCACAACAAAAAAACGTGATTTTATATCTTATTATCTTAAACTTTGCTATGTGGTATGAGTTTTCATAAAAAATGCATTATACAAAATAGAAGAACATCATAGAGAAAATTAAGAATTCACAAGTATATAAATAAATAAGCAGGAATTTACAATACTGTAAAAACTTTTTCATTCAGAGCCAAAACTTAATTAACATATTCATTACTACAACTAAATAAAAATACACTCAATATTCACTCAGCTAATAAACAGTGTTATGCCTCTACCCACAGGAATTTCTAAACATCTTTCTATGAGACTATATTCCCTGCACTTTTCCAGTGAAGAAGAAAATCGCTCTGGTTTCTCTGGATAATAAGGGTCCCACAAGCAGTGGTATGTTGTCATTCGTTGGTCATACACAAGTCCTGTTCTGTTTTTTGAAACAAATATCATAGTTTATACATAATATTTCATTTCTATATACAGTGCCTTGTTAAAGTATTCACGGCCTACCAGTAATGTCATATTTTGATGAAATACAAATAATGTAAAAAATTTTTTCAATGAATTTGTTTTTATTCAAAACTCTAATGATCAAATTTAATGCTGTTATGGGTGAAGGAGGTTGAATGTCAGCAAAACCTGCAAAGGAATCCTAGAGGAAAACCTGCTTGAGTCAGTTAAAAATCTAAAACTGGATCAAAAATTCACATTTCAGCAGGACAGTGACCTGAAGCACAAGGACAAAGCTACACTTGAGTGGTTTCAAAAGAAGAAAGTGAATTTCCTGACTTGGATCCAATAGAAAATTTATGGCAAAACTTGAAGATTACAGTCCACGATCCCCAACGAACTTGTTAAATTGGAGCAATTTTGCCAGTTAGAATGGGCAAAAATTACACCATTCCATTGTGCAAAGCTGGTAGAGACCTATCCAAAAAGACTCACAGCAGTAATTGCTGCCCAAAGTGCTTCCACCAAGTATTGACTTAGGGGGCTGAATACTTATGTAATCAGCAAATTTCAATTTATATATTTTGCCTGTACTTTGCACCATTCATTTCCCCTCAATCTTGACAAACTTCCCAGTCCCTACTGATGAGAAGCATTCCCATAACATGATGCTGCCACCACCATGCTAAAAATTGGGATGGCATTGACTGGATGATGTGCTGTGTTGGGTTTGCAACAGATTTAATGCTTTGAATTTAGACCAAAAATCTCAATTTTTGTTTCATCTGACCACAAACCTACCACATGTCTGCAATATCATTTATATGTTTTGTCACAACTTCCATACAAGATTTAAGATGATTCTTTTTCAGTAATGGCTTCTTTCTTGTCATTCACCCATACAGGCCAGCTTTGTGTAGGGACCTCCCAGTCAATGTATGAACACTGATTCCCATCTTAGACATGGAACTTTGCAACTCTTTCAAAGTCACTGTTGCCTTCACAGTGGCATCCCTAACTAGTTTCCTGCTTGTCCAGCTGCTTAGTTTGGAAGGGTGTTCTGATCTGGGTAGTGACTGGATGGTGTGAAGCCCATTCCACTTCTTAATGATGGACTTCACCATACTCAAAGGGATAATCAGGGACTTTGAAATTTTCTTGCAACCTTTTCCTGATCTATGCTTCTCTACCACTTTATCCCTAACTTGTTTGGAAAACTCCTTGGTCTTCATGGTTAGTTTGTCATATCACTAAGTGAGTTGTGGCTTGAACAGATGCATATACTCTGAATTCAAGTAAACCACTTTGATTACACACAGACAGAGACCATTACACAAATACTGTGACCTTTCAAACTAACTTTTTGCACCTGAACTGATTTAGGATTGCTGTACCAAAGGGGTTGAATACATATGTAATTGTAAATATTCTAATTTTTTTAAAATCTAACTTACATAATATCAACTTTTTTTAGCTTTCTCAGATTGGAGTAGATTGTGTAAATTCTAAACATAAAGTCCTATTTAAAAGTTTCATGACTGCAAGCTCAGATGGCAATAAAATGTGGAAACCTTGCAGGGGTGAATACTTTTCTATGGCACTGTATAAAGCAAAACAAATAGTCAAAAAGCTACTCTATAAAGAAGTTTTAATTATTTCAGCAGTTTGAGGAAAAATCATGAAGAGTATGTGAAAGTAAATAAAACACATATTTTCAAAATCAAATGTTTACAGAAAAGCTTCCTTTTACTTTGTCCATCCTTCCTATTCACTATGAGATAGTATTTCAGAATCAGAGGCACTGAAATCTATGAAAGTGGCTGCCTATCAATGGTAGCATTGTTATTATTTATTTCAGGTAGTATCACTTTTTAAATACATAGTAGTACTTTTGTGAATACCTAATTTATAAGATTTTCTGATGGTTAAGATTTATGATTTAGAAGTTTGTTAGCTAGATGTTGTTAATTGAAAAATACATGATATAAAACTTCAAGCTTACAGAATGTTGGTATATTTTGTTAGAAAACCAACATTCAGTTTTGAATAATAGATATAGAACAAAGAAATTAGATACAGACATTTTTAAAACCAATCAACATAGTTGATTTTTTTAAATATTTCTGCATTAAAGACAGAATGAAAAATATCAAGAATAGCTGAACCAAATTTGGTGGTCTATTTTTCAATAATGATTATGAAATTTCACAATTATAACACTATCATACTTTACTTGTAAACTGTACACCATACAGCATATTAAACCACAACTATCCATTTTAGGTTTTGAACTGCTACAAAAAGTCAAAAATATAGAATCTTTTTTTTTCTTTTGATTCATTTTTGTTTACTCAAACAATACAAGAATATTTTTTTACCTTAATTTCTTTACTGGTTTCCCATCAGAAATAGTCTGAAACAAAAATAAGAATATGCATAAAATGAGAGAGAGAAATAAAACATTTATGTTAAGATAATCAGAATGAATGAATATCAATAATTTGAATGTACTACATCATACCAAGTCAACATATATAATCCCCAAATGATTCCAGCACAAAAACTAATTTTAATAAAGTGTTTACATTTTAATTAAGCTTCAAACAATGAATACTAATATAAACTTCACAACACAAAATCATGGCTTTTATAGTGAATACTAAATATCACAAGAATATTAACATATAACATATAATGTGAAGACAAAGGACCTCTTGGTCCATCTACACCATCCCATCAACTAAACTTTAAAAAAAAATAAAAGACTCAAAGCCAGCCCTTATCATTTAAATATTTATCAAGCCTTCCCTTTAATTCCCTTAAATTTACTGCAACCACCACATCTGAAGGCAAAAATACACCAAAAGCCAACCATTCTGTTAGTAAAATAAAATTGTTTTAGCTGAAAATGACTCCTACCCTGCCAAAATGTATGATTGTGTTCCTTAGTTGACAATCATCTTAATTTAACACAATTTTAACATATCCATTTTTGTAGTAATGGATGCCCCTGATGTAGATTGGCTAGGGTGTAACAGACCATAAATGGTAGTTCAACTCAACCAACACCTGGTGGCATTTGGAATTGTACACCAGGTCCATGATAGGAAGAGGGTCCTCTACTTTTCACCTCAAAAAACAAGTACTGACAGGGAAAGGGAGCTTCTGTACCAAGAACCCACCTCCACATGTGCGCACCTCCAACACAACCAACACCATATTCACTAGGAGCCAACATCTGGCACATGGTAGGAAGGTGGAGAGCCCGGGTGGGTGTTCCTCTCTGGTCCAATACCTAGCAGCATTGGGAATTTTTCTTCCAGTCCACTGTAGGAGGTGAGTACCCAGTCTTACACATGCAGGAATTCATGTGTCTTGTCCAGATACAGCCAACACTAGATCCACTGGAAACCGAAATTCAGTGGATGGTAGGAAAAGGGACCACTGTTTGGGATTGCATCTCCAGTCAACAACCTGGCACCATTGGTAATTTATCCAGGCCCATGGATGGTAGGAAGGAAGGTGCCTCAGCAGGATGAACAAACTGCATTATATGGCAGAGTGATACATCCGACACCTGGTGGTGTCTGGAATTATACATCAGGTATGCAGTAGGAAGGGCATCATATCATATACACCAGAAGAATGCCACTGTCCTACTCTTAACTGAGTGGTATTGTGCACACTCAGGAGGACAGGCCTCCACAGTCCACCACCCCAGTGGCTAGGAACTGGTAAGTGGCAAGGACTCCCATGCACCTCTAGAAAAAGGAAAAAAAAGTGTTGGAGTGTCCAGGGGACTCAAGCACCAGAGACAGTGCAATGGGTGACCATGATACCTGGTTTTGAAAAGCACAGCAACCATGTCGATGGTGGTTCTGCAAAACACCCCATCTCAATGGTGTGTGTAACATAACCTTGTGATGTGTTATGATATTGTATTTTGATACATTTAGGACATATTGATGGAGTTAATTAACCAACATCTGGCAGCATCAGGAATTTCACATCAGGTCTACAGTAGGAAGAGCCTCAACGTCACAGTCATTTAGCATGGTATATGATCACAAGTCATACAGTGCAGATATAAGACTAAGCATACCTGGTCAGGCAACACTTGTCACAGAGTAGGATTCAAATATGCAATAAATGCCCCTGCAAAGAAAAAGAAAATGAACAGAGTACCTACCACACACAGATAAACAGTTATATTGCTGATGATGTCTCCCAAGGGAAGATGGAAATGTGCAGCCAGGGACAAGTTAAGGTGATGGATCTAAAGGGAAGAAAATATGAAAAAGGCAACAGTCATCAGGGGAAAAGGAAGAAAAACGCTATGCAAATTAACAGGTGAATTCAACCCAGAAGGGAAATAGAAAAAAGGTCACAGGAGAGGCGAGGATTTCATTGAAGAAACAAATGGACTCAGAAACCATGGAAGGTACAAGTACAATGTGTCGCATATCATCAAAGAGCCCTTACTGGGCAAAGGAGGCGGGTGGGATCAGAACAGTCATAATGATGGGAAAAAAGGGAAGGGGAAAGTGTGAAGGTAGAAGTACCCTCTCAAGCAGCCAAAGTCTTGGGCATAATTAGGAAAGAGGATAGCATAGGAACTAAGAAAACAAAAATGCTGTGAACATCCAACATGAACACACCAGAAGAACAACGTTTGCATTCCAACAAGAGCAGGAAAAGGGACTACAAAAAAAAGTGATTTAAAGTAAATGAAGACAAAAGGTCCAATATAGGATGGGGGAAAAACATGGAGAACCACATTGAGGTACTAATCCAGAATGGAAGCAAGGCAGGGAAGACAGGAAAAAAAAAAGAATGAAACAACATGAATAAGACTGGCAACTAGAAAACCCACCCTACAGCTAACAACAGATGGAAACCAAAAGGCCCCATTCAAAACGCCAAGGTAAAAAGGATGGTATATGAGGAACCATAGGATGAGAAGGACTCTAAGCTCTGAGGACAGACCAAAAGTGGTATGTATACTACGTATGTAAGTCAACTGGCAAGGAAGAAGAAAGAACAGGACAGAAAACAAAGGAAGCTACATGCACAAATCTGGACTAGACAAAGCCAAGTGTGAATACGAATTGCAGGTACAGATGGATGACACATGTCAGAGTATGGCTAACAGATTAGTGTCAGAGAAAACGGACAAGAAAGTGAGGCAACACCAAAAACAGGTGCAGCAGTGTAAATCATATCATGAACCAGTCCATACGTAACCAGAAGCATAATACTACGGTCCAGAGCCGTCACTTCATAGGTTAAAAATCATGGTTCCAACCAATTTGACATGGTCGGTAGTTCTGCTACAGCAGTTGTAGTTATGACCACTTGAAACTGCAAGTGCATAATTGAAAGAGGATAGAAGATAAATAAAATAATTCGTAGCTCTCCATAAAAGAGAAAGAAAATGGTAAAGAACGATGTAATTAAAGTATAAAAATTAAGAATGTAAAAACTTGTGGAAAAGTGAATCAAACCACGAGCGAAAACATGTCAATCGAGAAGCAGTTAACAGATGCAAGATTAGAGAGGGCACTAGTTATTAGAGGGGTAGTATTGCACTCCTATTGGTGTAGGGTTGCTGCATAATCATTTGCATGTTAGTATGCAGAAATAAGTGGGAGTATCAAGGCTAGCAGTGAGCGAAAATTGCACTGATAGAGGGCACTATAAGTCAAGATAGCATTTTATGAGCTGGAGGTAAGATATCGTATCAGAATTTAAAATTATGCATAACTTTAAAGTATAGACTATTATGCCAAATTAAATTAAAAGCCTTCTCAAAATCTATATTAAGAAAACTTGCTTATTATCAAAATCCACTGATAATTAACACTAAGTCTACAAGATTACAAGTAGTTAACAACTTTTTCTAAACACTGATATTGATTTAATAAATTGTAAATTTCCACATAATACATACATACTTCAACAAATTATTAATAACACAGGCTTATGAATTTAAACTTCATAAAAGTTGTTTTGGTTTTAATAACAGATTTTCCATAATTCAGCTATATAGATTTCAGAAATAATATT